CTCCTAAAACATTGGTGCTTCGTATTTTAGAGCAGCCACTGCAATTAAGAAATAAATGAATCAAATCTGTACGTGCGTGTTTGTGTGAAAACCCCCTTTGTAATTGTTAACATTTTCATAAGTAACTGTAGGCTAATTTAATTACACTTTTTTTCTCAGTAACTGTAACAGATTGCACTTACCGTTACATGTAATTAGTTACTCCCCAACACTGGTGTTGAATATACAGAATATATGGGGAGTACAAACACTGAGCTATAGTTGCCACCCCTCATTCTGCTCTTGCCCCCTCTTTGCCACCCAAAGTATAAAATCCTGGACACACCCCTGGTCCGGAGTGTGTGTGATGCCGGTGAGTTCTCCTAGACCAGAGGTCGGGAACCTATGGCTCGCGAGCCACACCTGGCTCTTTGACAGCAATCATGTGGCTCGCCAGATCTCTCACCCTTTATTAACAAATGATCTATTACACAAATTAGACATCACTAGAGATCAGCAATTCCTTTGTTGTAGAGCCTACATAAGCCCTACATATACATGTAAAATAACAATACATTTTCTGTACCGGCCAAAGTGCGTGTTCAGTGCGCGGTCAGAGCTGTTTGCGAGAGTCACGAGCAGACCATTAATGTTTCACTCTCAGATTCGTAGCTTTGTGGTAATAGCGAAAAGAGATTTTTTGAACAGCAGAAAAAGTGTAAAAGTATGTAAAAAAGTGACAGGACTGATTGACTGAAACATATACTTTATTTTATATGTTTTATACTTTGAAACATTTCGCCGGTTACTTTGGCTTTTTCCGCGCAGCTCAGTGGGTGGGACTGTTAGCGTTATTAATAAAGCAACATGAATCAATGAGACAAAAAAGAGCGGGACATTCTTGATATTAAAAAGACTATTATCGTGCATTATTTTTCACTCACTCAGTCTCTTACACACAGGCGCATGCGCAGAGAGAGAGAGAGAGAACGCTGAAGAGAATTCATCCTTCTCATGTTGTAAATCAACCTCACAGTAAAAGCCCTGCACAATTTTTGACGATTTGGTCAAATAAATATGGTCCTAATAAAGTTGCTATTATTAAAACGTTATTGAAAACACACACACACACATTTATTATTATTTTATTTCTTTGGCTCTTTCGGAAAAATGCATTAATCAAAAATAAAAAAATGGCTCTTTGGTCAAAAAAGGTTCCCGAACCCTGTCCTAGACTCAGCGCTGCGCTTTTATTTTGATTAGATAATCATCAAGTGTTCAAGAATAGAAGTTAAAGTGTGAGAGTATACACATAATATCCATATGTATATAATTTTAATGCTATGGCCTTTGTGTATATCTTTAAAGATGTGCATCTTTACGCATGACTGTTGAAATGAAATGGTAACACTTTAAAATAAGAGTCCATTTGTAACATTAAGGTTAATGAAAGCTGTGTAATGAAAGTATTGTTCCTTGTTAGAGTGTTAATTTCAACATTTCTATTATTATTATTACTACTACTACTACTAGGCAAGGCAAGTTTATTTATATAGCACATTTCATACACAATGGTAATTCAAAGTGCTTTACATCAAAGAAAATAAAAAAAAAATCACAACAATAAAACAAGGAATTAAAAAACATTGAAAATGATTTAAAAAATTGATTTAAGAGGTTTAAAATGAATGTAAGAAAACGATTATACATAAAATATAGTGCAATCAGTTCGGACATGGCACAGTGCTCATTCAATAAATGCACAGCTAAACAGATGAGTTTTGAGTCTGCATGTAAGGTCCGCCCACTGGTCCAACAACGGTAGCCAGTGATCCAGTAGAAGGATTCTCGCGTGTTGCTGTCTTTCCTTTTATGCAGCACAACAATATTAAACTAAATACATTTTTTTGTGTTTTACCTTTTATTCATCTGACTCCAAAAATGAAAAGGGTTAGGAGAGTTGTTTGTTACTCATTAAATTTAGGTGAGTGTTTGATCATTCCGTTTTACTAATTTTTTATTTACTCGTTCATTAGGAATCTATGTCGCTTAGCATGCCTCACGGCGGCCGCTATGCGTGGGCTCCACGATCACAAACTCGCCAGTTTGATCCTTATTCAGAGGTTTATGGCTAATACTATTTAATATACTTTAAATAGTAGGTTTGTTTAGCCCCCTACAGTTACCCATGTAATGCATTGTAATAAACTCTGATTAAGACTAGACCCTTAGCTTAGACCCCGATAGTTAGTATAACCACGTACAACTTAATTAAAGCTGAAATCATACACATGGTTAAAGTAACTGAGTACAACTTAAACTAAGGTCAAGCGGTTAGTCAGAAACCAATAATCTCACCTGATGCGCAACATAAGCCTTCACTTAATCTACTTGAGAAAATAACTTCAGAGTAATCAGAATGAATTCAAACATAACAATTTATTAATCAGGTAATCAACATAATTCAAAGTCCAATCAAACAATAGAAAACAATTAATCAATTATACAAAACAGTCAGTAATACCGAAATGAGAGAATATATAAATGTTACCTGATAATGAGGACTACGCACAACAGATGTGCGGGAGATCTGCCTACAGATGCCCTGAGCTCTTTGTCACTCTCCCTTAAATATCCAGAAGAACCCCATAGATACTAAATGGTATTGTCTGTTTATTGCAGCATTTTAGCATATCTCTTTAGGGGGTTTCAAGTGAATTATCTTGATTTCTGTGGGAGGCTGTACCTCATTTACATACAGAAGGTAACTTGTGTGAAAGACCTGGGAGTAGTCTGCTTTCAATATTTATGGTTACCTGTTCTATTGTTAAGAGAATGAGACCCCTTTCCCAGACACACAGAGACCTTTCAAACGACATCAAACATGAATTGTTGCATTGTAATAAACTCTGATTAAGAAAGGTGGTTTTGGTGATATCTGCAGTGTCTTGTGTTCAGATGGAAATGAGGGGAGAGAGGGGAAGAGTGAAGGTGTGGAGCTTTTGTTTCTCTCAGTTGGGTGTATTGCTTTAAGCTTGCTAGACAGAGTTCAGATGTTGATTCTCGTGAGAGTTCCTTGTTTTTCAGACTGTGACCTTCTTCTGATCCAGCCAAATGGCATCAATAATCTTACAGATGAAATGTTTAGACCTCTACTGATGATTAAATCTAGAGTATGTCCACGATTGTATGTGGGTTCATGCACATGCTGAATCAGGTCAAGAGTATTTAAAACAGTTATAATTTCTTTTGTAGTTTTGTTTTCTGCATTATCTATGTGAATATTAAAATCCCCTGCAATACCACAACAGTCAAACTCTGAGGAAATCATTGATAGCATTTCTGTAATCATTGATTAGAAATGATTTATTTTTTAGTGAGCGAATGTTTAAAAATGCTAACTTGATGGCATTGCATTTGGTCTCAACAGCAATATTAGTTTGACGCATAACAGGCCGTAGATTAGATAAGCCAGCCGTACGGCTTTAGAGGGCCTTAGACTTTCTATCATGTGATAAAACAGAAATAGCGAAAGCTACAGGCACACTGGGTTCCCGCTTGTTCTGTAAACATTTGTGAATGTTGCTGCTATTATAGCGGGGACCCGACACATATCACTGAGAGCTGCTATCAGTTGTTTTTGGTTC